GTTTTCGACGGATTTTTCCCCCTATTTTTGGGGGGATTTTTAAAAATATTTCCTTCTTCTGAAGATTCGATCGGAAGCNGTGANTGTTAAAAAATAATTAGAAATTTTTTAATAAATTCCTGAATTGTGAAATAATTTTCCTGTTTTCCTTCAGTTGATTTTCCTGAAGCTGTAATTGGATTTTCCTTCCCGGAGCAGAATGACTGAATTATCTGAAAGGAAAGGTGACAGCGAGGAAATGTACAATTTTCCAGAAATGGTAGCTTCTTCCCAGAGTTTCCTGCAAACATTTGGGAAAATGTTCCCGAGGATGTTGGGATCATCTCCCCCGCTGGCAGGAAAAGCTGCTTTTGAGGCCAGACAGAGACTCGTTAAGTGGGATTTGGTTTGTGGCAGACAGACGGAGTGTCAACAGAGCAGATCAGGAATGTGAGAATGCTGCGTCGGAGCCCAACTCATCTCGGCAGCCCCCGGACTCTAACGCTGAGCGGGAACGCCGACGTTCCGGGCCGTCCGGCGCTCAGAGAGAAGCTGCTGGGCTGCTGGAGGCTCTTTTGGAGACAAACCCGTTCTCCTGGAGCGGATCCAAGAAGGAACAAAGATCCGTATTCAGACCCAGAGCAGGGGGGCGCAGCTCTGCAGCTGGCGCTCCAACGCAGAGCTGCAACACTCACTCTCAACATCCGGCCTTTGTTTCTGGAAATCTAACCTGATCCTGGAGCAAAACCTGCAAAACAGACTCCTGGTTCTGAAGGAAACCATTTGGGTTCCTGGTTCTGCAGAGAGACGGAATTCATCAGAAATCTGAAATACATTTCTAGACATCTGAGGCCCATACGGCCCAGTGTCTGGCATTCTGGGGCCCAGATGGTATTGTGGGACCAATACGGTATTATGGGGCCTCTCTGCCATTCTGGGGCCCATACAGCATTCAGGCAACGCTGAATCTGTTCTGTTGTTTAACACAACTGGATGGATGAACGGTTGGATGGAAACAGGAAGCTGCTCTTCTTGCTGTATCCACCCGGCCAATCAGAGGTCAGCGTTGCTGCAGCCAATGGCAGCAGCCGGCCATGTCTCCATCTATCTCTCTGTGTCTCACCGTGTCTCCATCTATCTCTCCATGTCTCCGTCTGTCTCACCGTGTCTCCATCTATCTCTCCATGTCTCACCGTGTCTCCATCTGTCTTTCCGTGTCTCCATCTATCTCTCCGTGTCTCACCGTGTCTCCATCTATCTCTCTGTGTCTCACCGTGTCTCCGTCTGTCTCACCGTGTCTCCATCTATCTCTCCGTGTCTCACCGTGTCTCCATCTATCTCTCCATGTCTCCGTCTGTCTCACCGTGTCTCCATCTATCTCTCCAT